GCAGGATAGTGAAAATGAATTAGATAGCGAAGATGAAATGGAAGTGGATCAGGAGAATCATGAAGATAATACTGAAGACCATGTCATTATAAACTCAAGTACCGCCATAATGAAACTGCGTTCTGTTTTCAGAAAAATAAGAAGAAGTGAAAAGCTGAAAATTAAGTTTTGTTCGGTTTGTGATACAGTAGGTGTACCAACAACTCTAAATCCCATACTGGACTGCCGAACCAGGTGGAATTCTACTCATGATATGCTTGGGGTAGCTTTAAAATTGAAAAATGGAATCAAAACATTATGTAGTATTTCACCAGCGTTACACGATTTACAAATATCTGATACTGAATGGTATATATTTGACAAAGTATTTAAATTTTTAATTAATTTTAAAATTCTCACCACAAGACTTGGTGGTGACAAATATGTTACTCTTCCCCAAGTTATTGTTTCGTTTAACCTGTTGCTTGATAAGGTAGAAAGTACTATAAAACAGTTAGATGAGAAAATCCAACGGACTGCAGTAGATGAGCAACTAATTTTGGGTTTTCAAGCTGCACGTGATAAAATTTTAAAACACTACAACAAAACGAACTGGATATACTGTGTATCATTAATTCTGGACCCTAGACATAAAGCAGAAACTTTTGATTTAACACTTTGGGGAGTAGAGATAAAAAATATGAGCCTCCAGAAATTTGAAGTGATTTACAAATCATACTATGACCAAGAGCCAGTGTTAGAGTTACCAGAACAAGAAAATCATGACATTGATAGTGATGAAGACATCATCGATTTTAACACGTTATATTCAACACCGGTTGGCGGTTACTTACACAAATTCCCAAAATTGCATGCAAGAACTTGATACATACTTAGGTCAGCCGAGGAGTGCAAGCAGTGAAAATGTACTACAGTGGTGGAAGCTAAACCAAGTTCACTTCCCTGTGTTAGCTAAGATGGCAAAAGATTTTTTATCAATTTCAGCCACCTCTGTTCCTGCAGAGAGACTTTTTTCTAAAGCGTCTTTAGTCATTCGCAAGCACCGAAACAGGCTAAACAACGAGTCCCGCCAAATGGCTTCTTTGCATCAACTCTTGGTCAAAACAACTTTAATACATTTACTATTCTTAAATTCACATTACATTATTAAATGCACTATTCTTTATATTACCTACTTATTCATGATTCAGTTGTTTATTTTTTTTTCCTTTAATAAGATTTTAAAACTAAATAATAGAACAAAACTTATATTTAAAAGATGTTGTCTACCAAAAATATTGAATACTGAAAATTAATAGGTTGTATGTCACAAAAAATTATAAACATTTTAATTAAACAACATTATTAATATTATAACTTACCTCATTTAGTAACACATTTTAATTATTGTGGGTTGTACATAATAGTTTTATGTATTGATGTAGGTATTATGCACTTTACACTTTACAGTTATCTTAAATACAATGTTACTACTTAACTTAGTTGACATTAAGATAATTAAAAACTTTTTCTAAAAATAAAATGTAGGTGCCTAATAAGATTTACAGAAATGGTTTATTGCCAATATATTAGATTAAAAGAAACTTAAACATTTAGTACTACTGTACTGGACACTGGTGAATAAAAGAAGAATAAAAGTTTAATTATAAATAATAAATATTATCATTATAACAATTAATATAATTATTAAGCAATTTAATATTTGGAACAAACCATACAGTTTTTTTTAAATATTATTATTAGTTAAAGTGAACATTAAAAAAACAACAATTTAATTTTTATAAACATTATATTGGTCAATAACTAGTAATTAACAATTAGTAATAACCTATTGATATTTATTATAAATGCAAAAGGAACTTAGAAAGTTAATTATGCTGGTAAATTGATTCATACAAGTAAAATAATATAAGCATAATTTAAAATGCAAAGTTTTAAACGAGTACCTACCTATAATAAAAATCAAATTGTTTGACTTGTTTTATGTTAATGTTTGATTTATGAATATACTATGTAATATATTGGACTAAGTTTCATCTTAGTGATCATAGCAAAAAACCTACACACAGCTATAACAGATATTTAGTTTTTTTTTTATATATTTTGTGAAAATAGCAAGAGTCTTGCAAGAGTCTTGCGCAAGACCAAGACCAAGACCAAGACTGAGTCTGCAAGACCAAGACCAAGACCAATATTAAGGTGTATACCCAAGACCAAGACCAATATTAAGGTGTATACCCAAGACCAAGACCAAGACTGAGTCTGCAAGACCAAGACCAAGACCAAGATTTTGAAAGTCTTGGTCTTGGTCTTGTTTTGATCATCACTACCATAGATATGTATAAAATATGTCTTAAACCTAGACTGACATACTGTCTTCGCTCAGAATCGTTTTTCTTATACAATGATATTGTATCATTGAATTCAAATTTAATACCATCCATTATACAGTGACCCACTTGTAACCTACTGTACTTATCCACTTACCCACCTTTTTTTTCTTCGTATGCCTACAATGAGCAGTAGCACTGAGATATTAATGACCATTTATAGATAAATATGGATATTATTATGGATAAATAGGAGCCCCGTTCTTCGACAACAAATTAGACAGCATAATAAATTATGAAAATAAATATTTTTATTTAATATATTATTTTATTTGATTTAAACATAAGATTACAATGAAATTATTTAAAAATTTAAAATAAATGCGGAGCCCCTTGAGCCAATGATTAGCGGCCCTCTACAGGGGGCAGGGGCATTGCCCCGGCTGTGCCTGTGGTTGTTGCGGCACTGTTTACATCCTTATATTATAATTTATAATTTATTAATACAAATTTTATAGATCTATTGCACGAATCAGATTGCAAGGCCACTGCCCGAACCTTCAGTAGGTAAGTTTAATTCCTGAATCATTGGAATTTTCAATTCACGAACCTTCTCAAAATGGAAAGACCCTCCAACATCTGGGTTGATACAAAAATCATTATTAAATAAAAATAGCAAATAAAACACCTTCTTGGATTACAAAATTTGAGGAATTAAAAAACGAACATTTGAAATCATTAAATGAAAATGCAAAGCAACTCAAAGATCGGTTAGTAAATAAGTATTATATACCCCCACTGTGCAAAAGGAGTCACACAACGTCTGTGAGAAGTTAGATTTTGGTCACATTATCAATTTCTCAATATAACATGGCATGGTTATCTATGCGAAACACATTAATGATTCTAATATAATATTACAGCATTGAGAAGTTACCATAAGATTTCTATGAAACTTTAAAATGTATACTTCGCTGCGAAGTTTTATTTTAGTCGCATTTCTAACATCTCAAAAACATATAGCATGAACATCTCTTAGAAGTTCAATGACAAAGCTTATATAGTGTAACATCATTGAAACGTTACTTTAAGATTTCTATACAACTTTTAAATCAATACTTCTCTGCGAAGTTTTATTTTAGTTGCATTATTAACATCTCAAAAACATATAGCATAGGTTTCTCTTAGAAGTCTAAAATATGATATATACCTATATTTAGTTCTGAAATTATAGTGATAAATAATAACTACCATGAGAAGTTAAAAACCAACTACTACGTTGATCTATAAAAAAGCAACAAACGAGACAACGGTTGGTAAAATATATACGCCGAACTCGCGCGCGTGTGACGCGGCCCGTGAGTTGTGTTTGTTTGGGTTCTAATTATAGTTATATTTTTATACTTCCCCATGTTTTAATAGGTATTAATGTATTATATTAACGTAAATCGTAATATTGTATTATCAGTTATCACATTATATTGTGTGTCGGACTCAGACAGCACTACAGCAGTCAGGAAAAGTTGTACAGTTGTTAAGTCGTGCATTTTCTATGGTGCCGACACTGCAGACGCGTACGTTACACTCGCACGGTACCACGCCGGCACGCCGCACGCACTCTAAACAGTCTAAATTCTTTCACAGTTTCGCTGTAATAAATTATAATTAACCTATTTTTCAATAATAATCATACGATGCAGCAAAACAATATTAATACTACACCATCAAATAATTACAACCAAGCAAGTCTTGTAAACCATCAGCAGTTGCAGCAGCTGGCTTCATCATCAAATCCAACAAATAAAATGGTAAGTATTGAATACCTAACGTATTTATGCGTATTAATAAATATAATAACAAATATCACCGTATTATATAATATGTATTAGGTAGATGTTATAGCATATTGTCAAAATAAACTATATAATTCCATTTTGTCATGCATCATATATACAGACCTACACTACAGCGTGACATTTGTTGTCTCCGTCTTACAAGTTTGTAACATACCAAATTTTACGCTCAGCAGATCACGTTTAGCCCCGTTAGTTTAAAATTGATAGTGATTTCACCTTTATAAAATTTAAAGGTATATATACCTACCTAAGATTATTATATCTGCAATGTCATAAGCTTTTTGTTATACCTACTTGAATTTTAAAACGAGTTATGAGTAGGTATTTTAAGATGTACTAACAATTTACAATTTTAAAATAGGTACTCTAACTCGCTCTGAAATAAAAATATAGAAACCTACCTAATAAAAAGTTGGCATAATTCTAGTTTAGCGCCCACTCGAATTTTTCGATTTTTTTGTCGGAAACCTATGTATTTCGACGAGTTTAAAACGATGGTGTAAAAATTAATTTGCGGAAATGATTATTTTGGAAGTTACAGCCTTCCAAAGTTTGCGATTTTACGTTTATACGCATGCGCTCAACACTACTATAAGCGCAGCGACGAGTGCCGCAAGACGTGTTATCACTAATCAGTAATCACTATACATAGTACATACTATACAACATAACTTACCCTGTTACCTACTTGTGGTGGTGTAAGGTGTTGCATATCAAGTCAAGGGATACTTTTTTTGTTTTTTACACTGAAAACCATATAAGGAGACTGACAAAAAGTAAAACCAATTCTAATATTTTATATTTTATTTTTAAACTAAAAAAAAACTGTTTGGGATTCGTCCTCGGATTCTATCTCAGAGTCGGTGCCAGATTCCGACTCTGCAGACTCAACAACATCGGCTCTCACTCCATCGACAGGGTCGTATACTATGGAACACAACTTAAAAAATTCTGCTAGAGGGTCAACATTTTGCAATCGACACGATTTTAAAAACATATATTTTGCCAAGTACCCTGCGTAGAATCGTTTTTTACGACAGTATTGGCTCATGGATGCTTTAGCATGACGCCACATCCCTTCCACATTATTTGTATGTGCTCCGGTATCAGGGTTCTTAAATTCAATTGAGTGGTTGACGGTGAGGTGTGTGTAACCCTCATCTTTCAAACAATCGTAACTCTAAATTTATCAAACCATAATTAATATCTTAATAATGTAGGTGTAATAGTTTGTAAATTAAAAAATGGATTACATACTTTCCAACAATCACTCATTATCAATGTTCCGGGTAAAATCCAATCTTTAATAATGACCAACAATGTTTCCTTATCTCTCCGCTCGACAGGTATTAGGAAACTTTTACCTGTTTCCCGCTCTACACCACCAAACACCCACTGCCCCTCTACTCGATGACCTCTGTGATATTTCCGCCGACCAAACTTTGACTCATCAATTTCCACAGTCTTCCCTTCACCACCTTTATAATAATTGATTAATAAATAAAAAGAATAAAGTACAATTTAACCATGTACAAATTATGGAAACAAGAATACTTTACCGATTTTTTGATGGCGTAAAATCATCCCATCATATACAACTTCGCGATGAAATGATGCCCAGTCAACTACCGTTTGTGTCGCAATATCAATTTGTTTTTTTATAAATAAAATGGAAACATTCTCCGTCCACAAATGAGAAAAAATTACAATTTTCCATATAGGCAAGTGGGACTTTTCGAAAAACGTATTTTTTCTGAGTGATTGTTTAACATCACACCTCACTTTTCTGTTGGAAACCATCGAACGTTTTCTGCATCGCCATACAAAGCCATCGGCATAGTCACGATTTTCCGTTAATATTAAAAAGTGGTTGTTCTTACATTTCAGTGTATTTGGCTTTGCAATGAGGCCCCAAGACTGAAGTTGCTCAATGGCTGCGATGGGCAACGGATCGTTTTCATTGCAGTCAAAAAGTTTAAATAATTTAATAACAGACCACATATTTAGTTCAAAAACAACTTTAAAGCACGTACACTACTGAGTACTGACTGTTTGAAATAGGAATGTACCTACATAATGTTGTATAATATCAACGAACGACACCATACATTTCACATTTTATCTTATTTTATAATTGGGTATAAATCCTAATTTAGACATTTACATTATTTTGTATAATATAGGTAAACGAAACCATACATTTCACATTTTATCTTATTTCATAATTAGATATGAACCCTAATTTAAAAATTTACATAACTTTGTATAATATCAACGAAACCATACATTTCACATTTTATCATATCTTATAATTTTTATTTGTCTGACTGCAGTGTGTTTATGGATTATAATATAAACTGAAAACTTAGATTAGGTAAATTGGTCATTGACATTGGTGCCATAATTTGTAAAACGTTGGATTTATCTAGGTTTTAAAAAAAATTGACATGTTAGGTCATCCGTCTGCCCGAAGGGCAAATATGCTCTCCCCCCCGCGACCCCGAGGGGGTCGCCACCCCTCCCCCTCCCCCCAGGTTTGCTATTTAAGCCCCGGGGGGTTTGGCGACCGGAGCCGGCAGGCGTAGGGAGCTTCTATAGACTTATGTTACTCTAACTGGCGACCGGAGCCGATAGGCGACGGGAGCCAGGTCCCTTGAGTTCAAAAACCAGAGCCACTATACTTGTGATACTTCAACTAACAAGGTTAAAATTACTTGTTAGGTCACCCGTCTGCCCGAAGGGCAGGTATGCTCTCCCCCCCGCGACCCCGAAGGGGTCGCCACCCCTCCCCCTCCCCCCAGGTTTGCTATTTAAGCCCCGGGGGGTTTGGGGGCCGAGCCCCCATCCAGCGAGAGGTCCGCAGGACCTCGAGTTTGGCGACCGGAGCCGGCAGGCGTAGGGAGCTTCTATCGACTTCTGTTACTCTAATTGGCGACCGGAGCCGATAGGCGAAGGGAGTCACTATATACTTATGCAAACAGGTCAAGGAGTGAAAACACAAATTAACTATGCATACGGACTCGTAACTTTTAATATAAAAATATCGACGTCCTCCGCGGAGCATTATAGTAGTGTTGCGCGCATGCGTATAAACGTAAATTTGCAAACTTTGGAAGGCTGTAACTTCCAAAATAATCATTTCCGCAAACTAATTTTTACACCATCGTTTTAAACTCGTCGAAATACATAGGTTTCCGAAAAAAAAATCGATAAATTCGAGTGGGCGCTAAACTAGAATTGTTCCAAATAATTAATTTTCTGAGTAAGATTATAAAGCAGCATGTACTTAAATGTTAAATATTAATAATATATATTATATAAATATATAATACTAAATATATATTTAGTTAAAAATTCCATGTGCCTGATATTTAAAGTTACTAGGTAAAATGAGTAAATGTAATAGGTATATTTTATTATTATTTTTTTTTTTTTAATAATAATAAAAAATGTAATCTATATTATTTTCAGTGGAATGTTATGACATAATATTTTTAAAAACAAAGGAGTGTTCTGTTGTTCCTAATAACTGGTTATTTAAAAGAGATAATGGTGATATTATATGCAAATGGCCTAAACAAAAAATGACAAGTGCATTAATCAACAAATGTGGAAACCCATCTAATGATTGGTTGGATTACGATGTGAAAATGATTGGTCTACCATATTATGGTGATATTTCTTATTTTACTTTTTATTTTTCCACATCCAGCCCTGGATGGATGATGGTATAAGAGGGGAAAAGTAGAATATACTTCATATTATATTAATATTTTTTCATAAAACTATTAAAAATACATATTTATTCCTACCTATAACAATATTATAAATGTAAAACCTATATTTTTTTTAATAGACTCTATTAGCAAGGCAAAAGAACGTGAGCAGTTATTAGTAGATGAATCTATGTCTGAGTCTGAACCAATTAACCCAATAAATTTAGGAAGAGGAAAAAGAAAGAAAGTAGCAAAAAAACTATTTTCAAGTTTTTCAAATAATAATGGAAATGAGTCACCTGTAGCTAGTACTGACGGTAGTATACATACAAAAATTTATGTTTTTAGTTTTTATACTCAAAAATTGAATTTTTCAACTGACATCTCTTAAATAATTAATTATTTTTATAGATTCCAGTAGTGATGAGTTATCCCCAATAAAAATATTATCTCCTAAAAAACGGATTATTCAGGAAATACAAAATACACCAACAAATATGTCTAGTTCTTTAAATTTAACAAAGTATATGTCAGGTTAGTATTATTTTCTGATATATTATAATATATATATATATTTTTATAACATGTCTTTGACTTAGAAACAATATAAGTATATTATAAATACTTAAAATACTTATATATTTTAGATGCTTTTGAATCATTAAACGGTTGCAACTATCCTGCTATAAATAATGGTATGTACATATATATTTATTATATATGTTCATAAAATATTTTTCTTTAGATTTCAATTAAATTAAAATTATATTTTTTTATATATTAGCACTTGATGGCACATCATTGTGTATGGAAAGTCCTCAAAGTGGAATTATGAACCAAATTGAATTCGAAATGAATCAAAATTCTGATCTAAATGATACAAATATTATTAGTATTTGTAATTTAGATAAATACACAAATAATACAGTTTGTACACAAGCAAATAATTGAAATAATATTGATGAGAACACAACACTAAACCATGAAAAAAAAATGCATCAAATTCTTGAAACTGTCTTATCTATTAATTTGTATGTAAAAAGAATAGATTCTAGACTGTCTAAAATGGAAAAAAAAATTGCTGAAAAAGCTGTACAAGAAACACAACCAATTGATGATGAATTTGTTTGTTTATTTCCCCTTACCTTAATTGATGATTTAACTAATATTGAACTAAAAATGGCCAATAATGAAGATTTTAGTAATAAAATGGTTGGAATTTATTATCATTATTATTATTATTATTATTGATAAATATATAGTAGTTTCAATTTTAATTTCAGAAATCTTATATGATGGTTATTGGAGGAACTGATTCAAAGAATTTGGTTAAAAGGTTATTAGAAAGGATATTTTCAAATTAATTAGCAAAGAGATGTTCATGGACAGGGTTCGGTAGAGATCATCACACAAAAGAACATAACTTTAAACTAAAAGATTTAAAACTGATGAGATATATGTTGGGTAATTTATATTAACCTACATAAACATAATATGTTGTGTTTATTACTGGCATTTTATAATATAATTTATTTGTTTTCATTAGATATTGCTAGAGCTAAATTCAATTGTACTGAAAGTGACTTTGAGAAGTTTATAAAAGATTGGTTCAGACATGGTACTCAGCGTTACAAAAGAGATATGGACAGGCTTTCTCAACCTCATCAATAAATTGCTATGAAAACAAAAAGTATAATTATAAAACAAAATGTGTATATTATAATAATACATTGAATATAAATGTTTTATAATGTGTTAACAGAATCCAGATATATATATAGTTTACAGTACAGCTGTTACAAATTTTTTACTTCAATAATTATATTCCTTTTATGCTATTTCTTAAATGTAAGATGTACTTTAATTTAATATTCAATTTAGTCTTAGTGTTAACTATTTAATATAATAGACACCTTTTTTTTTCCAGAAAATTGAGCGAAAAAAACGCTGTACATTGGATTCAATGTCTCAGAGACATTTTCAACGTTTTGTTAAGTCCAAAGTTAGTGACACAAGAAAAACGAATAATTTAAGTATATTGCATTCTTCAAGTTCAACAGATTCATCTTTAACATATAAATCAGTTCAACAAGTTCAAGAAAATGCCTCAACTTCAGAAATAAATACTAGTAATGATAATATTTTAATTAATACATTTTTTCCACCAGATAATAATATTATCTTACCAATTGATATTGATCTCAATTTTGATGAAAACCATATTATGTCAAATAAAAAAAAAACCCTAACAACTAAATTATCTGAATTAGCTGCAAAATACAATGTTTCTCACAATTGTATGAATGACATACTATCAATATTTCGGTCAGAAGGCCATGATGTTCCAAAAGATATTAGAACGTTATTAAATACTCCTAAAAAATATAATATTATATCAGTAGATCCAGGTTCTTATATTCATCTCGGTATAGACTTTATGTTTAGATCGATTCTCAAGACTTATAAGAATTGTTTCAACAATGCAGAAGTTATGATTGAATTAGGCTTAAACATTGATGGTCTTCCAATTGCTAAAGCTTCAAAAAGTGTATTTTGGCCAATTTTATTGTCTATTGTTAATATACCTTGTATGTCAAAACTAGTTATTCCTATTGGTATTTATTACAGTAATAAAAAAAAACCCCATTCTATAGAAACTTTTTTAACACCTTTTATTGATGAACTTCAACTAATTTTAAATGATGGTATTCAAATAGAAAAAATACATTTTTGTTTTGCGTTAGTTCAAGTGATTTGCGATGCTCCGGCGAAAGCCTTTATATTAAACGTTAAAGGTCACAATGCTTATTTTGGCTGTAATATGTGCACTGAAGAGGGTTCTTATGAAGGTCGAATGACATATTTGGGAGTGAATTCGTCATTGCGAACAGATAATAGTTTTCGTCTAAAAAATGATGAAGATTATCATAAAGGATTTTCACCTTTGGAACGCTTACCAATTGATATGGTATCAACTGTTACATTAGATTACATGCATGTTGTCTGTCTTGGAGTGGTAAAAAAACTTATTAAGTTTTGGGTTAAGGGAAAGAAACCAAATAGAATTGTCCAAATAAATTTAGATGATATAAATTCTAGTATCGAAAATGTACGACAATATATTCCTTCTGATTTCGTTCGTTTGCCTAGACCTTTAGTTGATTTTGATTACTGGAAAGCAACTGAATTCCGTACATTTGTTCTGTACACAGGGCCAATAGTTTTAAAAGGCAAGTTAAAAAAATCCTTATATTCCCATTTCATGCTATTGCACTGTGCTATTCGACTTTTTATAAGTCACAATACTTGTTATTTATTTAATGATGAAGCAAAAGTATTATTAACTAAATTTGTTATTGATTATCCTATTCATTATGGTGCTGAGTTTGTGAACTATAATGTTCATAATTTGATTCATTTACCTGATTGTGTAAAATTGCATGGACCTCTTGATAAATTCAGTGCCTTCAAATTTGAAAACTTTTTGCAAGACATAAAAAAAAAACTAAAGAATTCGAGGTTTCCTTTACAAGAAGCTTGTAATCGAATTATTGAACAACAAAATATAAATAATTCTCAAGTTATCATATCACTAGATAGTTCTCCAATTTTTAAAAATGAAATTCCAATGCAACAATCAGTATTTAATCCTTTTTTTACATATTATAAGGAAGTAAAAGTAAATAGCAGTGTATTCAATTGTAATAAAGTAAAAGACAAATATATTATGTTAACTTGTAATACAATTTCCGAAATAAAACAAATTATAAAAACTTCCGACGAACAATTATTGTTTAATATTTGTAAATTCAATCATATTTCTCCATTGTATTTAACCCCTGTAGACTCAAATAAAACTACTATGTTTTTTGTAAATACTCTTAATGTATCTGAACCTGTTAATATTAACTTGTCTGATATAGCATTCAAATGTTTTTTTATCAAAATATCAGAATCTAAAGCTATTGCTATGACATTATTACACTCCTTTGAGTAATGTAGTTATTAACAGTATGCTAACAATAAATCATTAAAATATAATAAATACATTCATTCATATGTGTTACAAAATATTTTTAATATTGGTATCTTTTATTATTTTGATTAGTGTATATAACGCCTAGTATGCTATACAACTATAATATGTCATAACTCATAATAATAACATACCTACAATCTTTATAGTTATTGTTAGGTATTTGTTTTTTTCTTTCTAATTTTAGTTGTTATTTATTATAGGATTCATTTACTGGATTATTCTGTTATTTTTCATTTAAACATTATTAATAGCTAATGTATGACATTTTACAATTTTTATATTACCTATATGATAATTTTGTAGTTTTTGAGTATTTACTCATTATAATTTATAAGTATACCTATTGTATGAATTTTTTTATTTTAACTTCTATTATTTTGTATAACACATCTTTTGAATTATATAGTATTATATATTGTAACAAGATAGTTCAATATAGTATTCTACTAAATATATTAATTATGCTATAAGATTTACATAATATTAATACAGCTAATGGATGACATTTTACAATTTTTATTTTATATGATCATTTTGTATAGTTTTTGAGTATTTACTCATTATAATTTATAAGTATACCTATTGTATGAATTTTTTTATTTTAACTTCTATTATTTTGTATAACACGTCTTTTGAATTATATTGTATTATATATTATAACAAGATAGTTCAATATAGTATTCTACTAAATATATTAATTATGCTATAAGATTTACATAATATTAATACAGCTAATGAATGACATTTTACAATTTTTATTTTATATGATCAATTTGTAGTTTTTGAGTATTTACTCATTACAAGTATACCCATTGTATGATTTTTTTTAACTACATACTATTATTTTGTATAACACATCTTTTGAATTATCTAGTAGTATACTAGTATATATTGTAACGATAGTTAAATCATTATACTTAAATATTAATTATATTACAAGATTTATACATTTTAATAAAAAATTGTTTTTAGCTGATTAAACCTGTTTTTTCTTTTAATATACCTATTCAAAACTGAAAAATTATAAGTATTAAGAATGACTTGTAATATAATATATAGATATTAGGTATGCATAATATCAACAGATAAGTTGAAAAGTGTCTATTTATAGATGTTACAATGTGTTGTTGTAAGGACATAAAAATTATAAGTCCAAGGGAAGTTGCATTTTGAACTCCCCTTTAACATAACTATTACATTTCTATAGAATGTAAATAAAATAACAAGATTATAGAAGTTACAATGAGTAGTTGGAGGGAAGTTCAGATTAAACCTCACATTTTAACTCTCGGTGACTTGGCATTAGCATTGCCAGCATGGTCTCTAGGAGGTCTCTGGGAATAATTTTAAACTTCACAACATTATGCATAACTTCTATGTGATAAACCTGAGATGTATTTTTGCACAGTGGGGGCCCATTTTGATTATTTCTAATTATTCATTTTTACCTAAGTAATAGTCTTGACAAGTTGGAAAAAAGGGAAGAAGCTATGGTAATAACACAAGAAGAACTTGTTAAAAAATTAGAAGATGTGAATAATATCGAACTACAGAAACTTGACGTATTTAAAAAAATGTTTAATATGGATTAGTAGGTATGTTTGTTCCTATTTTTCTAATCATCAGTTTATTTCAGTTTTTATTAGTTGTATTTCCTACAGTTAATTTATCTCATTTTAAAATTATGTTTTGTTAAACATTACTATAACATAATATTAAAACTGTTATATTAATTTTAAATATGTTCTGGTCATAATTAAGAAGGAAACTGAAAGACTATATTTGTAAGTAAGAGTAAACATGATGTAAACACTTACATTTTTTTGTTTTTTATATCATTTTTTGTTAAACATTACTATGGTATATACATAATACTATTAATGCTGTTATATTAGTTTTAAATACGTTCTGGTAATAAATAAGAAGGAAACTTAAAGACTATGTTTGTAAGTAAGAGTTAACACTTAATTAATACCTTTTTAATGAATCACAAATAAAGTTTCTTTTGGTTGATCCTGCTGTAGTTTCTTCGTCTCTCATTTCCTGAATAATTTCTGGTTGAAAACTATTAGCAACTTCAATGTCATCCTTGTTTGTTATGCATATGTTATGCAAGCAACATGCTGCAGTAATGACTTTACCACAAAAATCTTTTTTATAAATATCCATATGTCCAGTTTTAAATTTTATAAAATTATGAATTAAAAAATGAAAATTTAAATAAACAGAATTTAAAAATCTTACTTAAGCTTTCTTAATCTGCAAATCAACTTGCCAAATGCTTGCTCGATTAATACTCTACAACTACTTAGTTTCCGGTTAAAGTTTTTTTCTTTTAGGCTTAAATGACCATTATCTTTGTATGAATTAGAAGACCCTCTGTAAGGGAATAGGCACCATCACCAAGAATTAGATTCGAGCGTCATGAGAAAGCCCGGGCTAACCAGCAAACATCTATAAATTTTAGTTCTGCATCAACGATTCCCTAAATAAAAATAAAATAGTTACATTTACATTATTGTGTGTTTTTAAGAACTATTTAATATGTTCAATATACCTATATTCTAAGGTGGGCATTAACTAGTTAAAAAGTTAAAGTTAAGTTAAAAAGTGGACACTCACTTATAAAACAACAGATGGCACTTGTTTCCTGTTACAAAACATATTTCTGTCTAATTTAGGCATTTTAGACCTTTTTCTCACGGAAATAGGGTGTTGATGTGACAGCCCAAATACATTAGGGAATGAGTTCATACCTCTTAGATTTTTGAAGTTTTGTATATTTTTAAAAGCAGCATTTTCTATAGGCCATACAATTATACTGCCAGCAACATTATTCATAGCCAATAAATAATTAATAATTATTGAATGGCTTGTACTTTCCGCAATATTGAACCGATTACTAATTTGTCTAAAATGTATATATTAATGATAATTACAAGTTACAACATTTTAAAAGGTTACATTAGATACATTGTACATTTGAAAAGTACTCTTTTCAAGACTGCCTATGACTACATAAACCACACCATTTTTTCATCACTTTAAAATGTAGGTAATAGGTAGTAGGTACCATTATAAAATAAAACTATTTATGATTCATTTATCTAAATTATTGAATATCTAACCTGTGTGTTTCAGAATTAACCATGTACCAAATAAATATTAAAACTTGTTTGTCAATATTTATTTTTATTGACTCTTGTGACAAATAAGGACCTACACCTTGGTAGCTAGTGTAATTGGTGGATATTACCACCTATTAAAATCATACCCATTTTAAAATGAATGACAAATAACATAATAACAAATAATTGTCAATTAACATTAAAACAAACTTTAACACTCTGTCTATTCAAACGGAAATGAGATTTAAACTCTCGATCTGTAAACGTAGGTACCATTAATTCTGCAAAACCTTGGATCTTCACTTTAATACTTTTGTCATTTTTTAATTGTGCTTTAAATAGCAATGTCATGTCATAATGATGATCATCATCACCATCATTTAAAACTGCCTTATGCAAATTAATTAACAAGTCTAGATAATTAAAAAAAATTAAAATTAAAGAGTGTGTAGGTACATTTATGTAAAAAATAGCATACATGAAGTATTATCACTTACTCTCACGAACAAGAAAGCCCTGGGTTACATAACTACTGATGTGATTTTTATTCATTATGAAATCTTTAAACAATTGTAGTTTTAAATCGTTTCTATTCATTTTGATTTGATTGCCATATATAAATCAATTGAGGTCAAACGAATAGAACCAAACACTGGCGTCTGGCAAGCATTTAATATTCAGAAGTCAGAAATAAGAAAAGTTAGCCACTGCCCACTAGGTAGATGAAAACTATGACAAAGATTACATAGACCCTAGACTTAATATGACATAGACACGATTTTAAAAAAGAGCGGGTGACAATTCATATTATCAATATACGCGATAAGAAAATTAATTAAAAAGTGGCGGTAAACCAACGGGGCTATACCCCGAATTTCTATCTAAACCGGTGTACACCAACCCGGTCAAGACTCACGAATCGGAATCATGACAACCAGTACGGTATTGTACACCGGTTCACACTATCAGAAAAAAATAATATAGTTGTGATTATAGCACGGACTAAGATATACAGGACTGGACACGACAAGGTTGGAGGGTGTGGGGGGGTTGACTACGAAATGTTTTACAACAGGCAGTGTTCGGGGGGATATTTTCCTTTTAGCATTACTAGCGCCGTCCTAGTGGATACTTATAGAACTAGAACACATCATACAAATTTCTAGTTCCATAAGTATCCACTAAGACGGCGCTAGTAATGCTAAAAGGAAAATATCCCCCCGAACTCCGCCTGTTGTAAAACATTTCGTAACCACAATATTCATCTCGTGTCCAGTCCTGTATATCTTAGTCCGTGGATTATAGTCTGTTATCATTATTAAAATTATCATTTCGTTTTTCAAGTCCACATGTCAAGCTGTGTTCCTTTGTTTTTCATTTTTTATCATTCATAAATTCTATATATATAAAAATGAATGTATGTCAGTGTGTGTGTGTGTCACTATTACCATGGTTACTAAGGTTGCCATGGTTACTAAGGTTACCAAGGTTTCATGGTTATTAAGGTTACCATGAGTGTTGTAGCTATTATAATCATAATTATAGGTCTTTAATGGGCAACGAAGTGCATGGGATCAGATATTTTATATATATAGTCCGTGTGTGTCCACATTACCATGGCAACCTTTTATATTTTATTTTGTAACTTCCGATGGAAAGTTTTGTACATAAATGGTTGCCATTTTGATATGTAAAACATATTATTCATGTAGAGTTGTAATTTTTAATGTGAATTGATGAACATTGAGATGTTGTGCTCAAATAGGGATTTTGAGATTTTATATGGACTTTTTTGTTTGTAAATAGTTGCCGTGGGTTTCAAAGCTATAA